GGAGCATGTCATGAATTACATACACGGCACCAGTGGACTGACGAGTGCTCTGTCCTCTGTGTTTCCCCCCCAACGGCTCCTTTCAAGGCCATGCAGACAGGAGTCCCGGCCTGGATGAGGGCGTGATGGTGGGATGTGCTGGCAGACAGCAGGGCCTCATTTTCTTGGCATACAAGAGTCTGAGTCTTGCCAGGTGCCTGGGCCCAGGTGAACAGGAGCCTCGCACGCTATGGCTTGGAATTAACTCGACAGCACCGGGTTTGGAGAGGTTCTTTGGCTTGTGTTTGGGCAGACAAAATAAAACCATCTCAGTCACCTTTAGCACCGCCAAGGGGCTGGATTTCAAAGGGAGCCTTACTGAAAACGGAGGGAATCAGAGAGAGGAAAGAACATAGACAGTTTCCCCACCCCCCACAAAACAGTCACTAGTCAGAAATCCTGGTCTCTGCCTGGATCAAGCGTCATGCCCAGCTCTGCTGACCTGTACTGCCCAGAAGCCAAGCCAGCCCTTCACCCTTTGTTGTTCCATGCTGTCGGCTCGTTTCCAGCCCATAGTGACCCCTGCTTGATATAGTGGATGTATGGATTGTTACAATATAGGTAAGAGCCCCCCATGAAGTGATTTATGAATTTAAAAAAAAGAAAAGAGTATAGTGCTTGAGACAGTTTTCCCCACCATCAGCAATTTCCAAACCTTATCTTTCTTCTTGAGCCCTTTGATATCAGCTCCTCTTTATTCCCTCCCTCCCCAACCCTGCTGCCTCCGCAAACCCTTAATATAGTACATATTGTTATCATTATTGATGCATATCTTCCACCGTCCATTCGGTTCCTACAGTCCCGTTATTCGTCCCCCTCGAGGGGGCTTAGTCATGGCTGTCTGGAACACTACACTCTTTTGAGGACTGCCTCTATGGGGCCAAGTCGGTCACAAGCAGACAGAGACTAGATGGGAGCCTTAGGCACCATGAGGTGGTGCAAATGAGAGAGGAACAATTAAGAAAAGGAAGGTGAATTGGTTGTATACCTCAAAGCATATAAGCAGTGTCGCTAAATTGCATGTGTTTGGCTGGGTATATTTCCAATAACAAATGAAATAAGATGTATTTTAAAACGAGGGGGAGAAACAACTTGGCAGGGGTGGCTTTGGTTTTGCTTGGTGGTTAGTACCTTCGGGGATGGGGCACAGCACGCTTGGGGACCCCAGCAGGTGGCTGGGGAAAGGAAAGCTCTGGACTAGGAGGTAGACGTTTGCGCCATACACTTCCTGTGTACCCTTGGGCTGATGGCTCAGCCTCTCTGCGCCTCTGTTTCCTCGGGACCAGGTCTTCAGTACTGTGTGAGGGACTCACAAAGGTTTGAGGGAGCCGGCCCTGCGCTGAGGATGAGCAGGCAGGGGCCGCTGGCTGAGCTTCTCCTCTCTCCCCAGGAAGGGTCACCCTGTCCAACGTGTCTGAGAGGAAGGACAACATGCGCCTGGGCCTGAGCCTCGCCACCAACCCCAAGGACAACAGCTTCCTGGTAAGAGCTGCCCCCACCTCCCTCCCACTGCCCAGTCTCCCTTGTGCACGTGTTCCCACCACCCTCTCACACACTCATTCCCCAAGGCTGTCTTCCTCGCCCACTCCAGGAAGCAGCCTCCCCACCTCACTCTCTGCGGGTGCTGTTCGGTGGGGTGCAGTCCAGGTAGGGCCAAGGACAGAACCCTTTAGTGACACGGCCTCTCGGGGCTGAGAAAGCTGTCAACCGCCTGATGGGTGGCTCAAGGGCAACCCTTCACCTTCCATGAGCACAAGTTTAGTGTCCCACCAACACAGCTCCTGCAGACCTGCCACCCTCTCCCCCTGGGGACCTGCAGGGTGCTGTGGGGCTGTCCAGGCTTCCGCAGAGCTTCCAGGCCAAGGCAGGTTAGGGAGACGGGCCTGGTGAGCTACGTCTGAAAATCAGCCAGTCAAAAGCCTACCGTGGAGCTGGTGCAAGATAGGGCCAGGTGCTCTTCTGTGGGGCCTGTGTGAGTCTGCTGATGGCGTAGGGCAGCTCTGAATTCAGAGCCACCACGTGGGCAGCTACCAGCAGCAGCAGCAGCAGCAGCGGTCCAGTGGAGGGGGCTCTCCTTCCCTTATGGAGCTGGTTTGCAGAGGCTGAACCTCGGCTCTTGGTTGATAAAAGAAGCAGAGCACACCACACACCCGCCAGGAGACTTGGAAGGAAATCCGTAAAGGGTGCCTTCGCTGGCCGGGAGGGACGTGGAGGGAGCAGCCATCTGCTGGTACAGGGTTGGAGGGTGCAGGAGGCCCCGGGCAGATTCTGCTGGTCTTTAGAGACAGGGCTTAGCTGGGAGGAAAGAGAGGGTTGGGACTGAGATCACGGAGGCCCTCGTGCATCCGTCCACAGGGTTGTGTGGTGGTGGTTTTGTTTGGAGGTGGTGGTGGTGGTTTTGAGTACCTAGAGCACACAGCGGAGTGCTGGTGGCGCAGTGGTTACATGCGGAGCGACTAACTGCAGGATCAGCTGTTTGAAACCACCAGGCGCCCCCAGGGAGAAAGATGAGGCTTCTACTCCTGTGAAGAAGCACAGTCTCAGAAACTTCTAGGGCCCAGTCGACCCTGTCTGACAGGGGCGCCACGAGCCGGCGTGGGCGCCACGAGCCGGCATGGGCGCCACGAGCTGGCGTGGGCCCGATGGCAGTGAGTTTGGGGTTTATTGTCCTGAGCCGATGCCATCGTGGGCCACACTTTGAACGGCTAACTCTAAGGCCGGGGTTCGAATCCACCCATCGATCCTTGGGGAAAAGATGAGACTGTCTGTTCCTATAAAGAATTAAAGGCCTGGGAAACCCAAACAGGGCGGTTCTACTTTGTCCTCTAGGGTGGCTGTGAGTTGGAATTGGCTTGATGGCAGTGGGCGTGGTCTGAGGTTTGGTGACGTATCCTTAAGGAGCCCTGGTGGCACGATCGGGGGAGCGCAGGAGAAGGATGAGGGTGTTGGCTCCTGTAAAGAGTTTTCAGCCTTGCAAACCCCCTCTACAGGCTCCCTGCGGTCAGAACTGTGTGTCGGGTTTGGCAGTATTCTGTGCTAAGGAGCCCGATGGTGGTGCTGCACTGTTAAGCCTCAGCCACCAAAGGAAAGGTTGCGATGTGGACTTCCAGCCACTCAGAGTAGAAAGAGTTCAAAAGGGTCCACCCGGAGAGTGGGCGTCAGTCCCGGGTGTGGGTCCACCCCCAGGCCCTGACTGACCGGGGGTCTGCGCTCTGGTTCACAGGCCTGCAGCCCCCTCTGGTCTCACGAGTGTGGGAGCTCCTACTACACAACGGGGATGTGTTCCCGGGTCAACTCCAACTTCCGGTTCTCCAAGACCGTGGCCCCCGCTCTCCAAAGTAAGTGCCTTCAAATCCGTAAATGCCAGCTGGGCACCTGAGGGTTGGGGGAAGCTGGGGGGTTTCATCACAACTGTGTTGGGGTCGCAGTGCTGGGAAGCCCCGAGGCTCTCGCCCCACCCTGCCTGGGTGACTTGGTACAAGCCATTTCTCTTCTGCAGACCAGCGTGCTGGGGAGGGGCAAAGGAGCTCAGGTTATTTAGATAATCTTGGCAGCAAGGGAGGGCCCCACCAAGTCTACTCAAGGCATGAAAGAAGTTTCAGGACTGTGCTTCACAATTCTGGGGACCCTGTTCACTTAGAGTACCCATTTTAGCCTAAGTTCTCAAACTTCCTCGGCTTACAACCTCCTTACTGTAACTCTCGGGAGTAGGAAGCTTTGTCTTTCCCTAGTGAAGTGATTTATGGTTTTGAACTGCTAACCTCAAGGTTGGCAGCCCAAACTCGTAACCACTATGCCAATGCCACCATGCCACCAGGGCTCCTGGAATAATCTTCCTCCCTGGGGAGCCGTGGTGGTTTCGAACTGCTGACCTAGCAGATCACAACCCAGTAAATTCAAAGAAAGAACCTAGCGATCATAAATGTATTTTAATAATCCACCTGGCTTAAAAGTTAAAAGCAGTCTGGTCCCTACCAGTGGATTATAAACTTCTCCAAAACAAGGTGCTTCCTCGTGTTTACTGGGGGCTGCCTGCACCAGCCCAAGCTCTGAGATGTGTGCCTTACCCTCTGTGTTGAGCTAGACCCAACTGGTGTTGAGCTAGACCAAACGGGGGAGGGCTTATCCGGCAGGCCTTTGCAGCCCGTGCGTGTCAGGTCACCACACCCTGCGCACAGTGTGCAGGAGGGACAAGCGTGTCTGCAGAAGTGACTGAGCATCCAGGTCATCCACCTGCCTCTAGCATGCTCTATGAGGCAGATCCACTGTGCTTTCTAGTCCACAGTGATGTCAATATGCTGCAGTCTCTCGCTCTAGGGACAGCCAGAGGGTTAACACGCCAAAAGCAGCCAGACATTGCTACGAAGTCAACTGTACCTATAACAGTCCAGACATTCCATGGGAGATGCTAGCAGAGGCCCAGGTGCAGGCAACATTTCAAAGTAACTCCAACTTTTTACAAACAGGGATAAACTATTTAAATTGTAAGAAGGTTTTTTTTAAAGATATATTCTGATATTAAACAGAGACACAGTGGTTAAGCACTTGGCTGCTTAACCAGGTCGGCAGTTCAAGTTCACCAACCTCTCTCTTCCCAAGAGAAAAGTCCTGGTGATCCATCCCGTAAAGATGAGACCCCTGAGGGGCAGTATCTAGTCTGCCCCAGAGGTTCTCTCTGAGTGAGAATCCACTCAATGGTTTTTGTATGATTTCAAAGTTTGATTTGTTTTCTTTCGTGATTTGTGTCATTCCCTTTAATGTCATATTAATGCTACAATGGTGTAAAGAAATCATTGTGCTGGCATGGCAGAGGCAGAAGGAGCCCTGGTGGCCTAGTGGGGTATATGTTGGTCTGTTAACCACAAAGTCAGCAGTTCGAAACCACCAGTCACTCTGTAAGAGAAAGAAAGATGAAGCTTTCTGCTCCCATAAAGAGCTACAGTCTGGGAAACTCACAGGGACAGTTCCACCCTGTCCTGTAGGGTCTCTGTGAGTCGGCATCGCCTCGATGGCAGTGAGTCTGGTCTGTTTTTGCAGCAGAGGCAGAGACAAAGGCACAAGAGTGCAGCCTAATCGTGTCACTAGCACATGGACTTGGTGGTTTGTTTTAAAATTGGAGTCCCTAGGGGGTGCATCCAGTTAACATCCTTGGTTGCTGACCAAAAGGTCGGAGATTGGAGTCCACCCGAGGAGCCTAGAGAGAAAGGCCTGGAAATCGTGGCAACTGGCTGGTTTATTTTTATTTTTAAAACCATCAGTTAAGATTTGAGCCCTTGGTTTGTGCCCAGCCATTTGGAAGCATCTCTTTGTTAATTCCTCATGTCCACCTTCCATTGTCACCAGGCCTGTTGCACAGAAGAGAAAATGGATGCTGGGAGATTGCGTGACTTGCCCAAGCTCACTGAGCTAGCTAGCGCATGGCAAATCCAGGAGACGACCAATCCACTGCCAGACTCCCCCCTACCTAGCCGTATGTGTTAGACAATGTTCTCTAGAGAAACAAATCCAGGACATTTATGATTTATAGATAAGGATATATATGGATACATATATACAGCATGAAGGAATATAACAACTAATTAGTCCACACAGAACAGAGGGCTCACTTCAACTCACTTCCATGGACCAGTAAATATACTGGAAGTCCTTCAACTCATGAAGGCTGCTGGATCCAAGATCAAGGGAGCAGACAGCTAAGTCTTCTGTAGAGCAATGCAGGCAGTCTGGCCACAGGCAGCAAACAGCAAGGCAGGTCACCAACAGTCAGCCAGATGATAGGATCTGACCGTTCCAAGCTCTAGTGATGTATACATCAGCAGCGTGGCAAAGCACGTCTTGAAGGAACCTCAAGTTCTAGTGACACGATCCATGAGTCGGGTGTCCCACGGGTAGTGTAGCTTGCAAGGTAAGGCAGAGAACTAACTAAGGCAACCGCACGCTGGTCCGATCACCAGAGAGCAAGAGAGAGAGAGACAGGTGGGGCTTGCCAAGCCATTTATCTCTTTGTGACCTTATTAATCCCACAGTTCATATTGGCCAGGTTGGCACAATAGCCCTACCTATCATACCATATACCAAACTGTCCTCCTGAAAAGGAACCCATTTCTTGGAGCTGAGAGTGGTAAAGACAGGCCTGCCCATCATGGTCAAACAAGAAAGTATAAGCTATTGGGGGGCGCTGGCTGTTGCTGGAACATGGGCCACCCACGGGCAGCCAATCTGGACAGAGTAGAGGCTGTCAAACTTACCTTGGGCTTTGTTCAGCCAGACTAAGGGATTCCTGGGCTTGTCGTTCATGGGGCTCAAATCAATGCCCTGCCCAGGGCTGGGCTCCCACCCGGGGGACTGCACCCCTGTGGTGGAGTCATTCTTCTGTCACCCGTGGGCAGTCACCCAGAGAATCAGAGATCCACAGGTGCAGGCTTCGTGGATGGCTGTGACTGTGTCCCCACTCTCAGGGTGCCAGACCTACATGGACATCATCATCGTCCTGGATGGCTCCAACAGCATCTACCCCTGGGTGGAAGTTCAACATTTCCTCATCAACATCCTGAAGAAGTTCTACATCGGGCCCGGACAGATCCAGGTGAGCACCTCTGAGATCTTGCCTCCTCTGAACAGAGTGGCAAGAACAGATGCTGCCTTCATGGGGGGGGAGCGGTCTGCCATGCACTAAGAAAGAAGGTGTGTGTGTGTGGGCGGGGGAGACCAAGCGCAGTGAGGCTGGCCAGCTCCAGGACCCTGCAGCCCAGAACATCATCTCGGGTGGTCACACCAAGGGACAGTTTGGGGGGAAGCTTTGCTTTGTGGGTCAAAAAAGTATCACTTATTAAGAAAAATAAGCCCCTGGGCGATGCAAACAATTAAGTGCTCAGCTGTTAACCTAAAGATTTCCATTTGGGCCCACCCAGAGAGGCTTAGAAACAAAGACCTGGGTGCTGGCACCACGGCGCCTGGTTCCTGAGAGAGATTTAGAAGATCCCAGGAAGGCAAGGAAAGGAGCAGGCACCGAAGTCCCTGCCAAGGGAGACAGAGGAGAACTGGGCATATTGGGCTTGGGGAGAGGACTGGTGGGCGTGGATACTAGGTGCCAGCGCATATTTGAAGTGCTGCCTGCTAAGGAGCACTATTCCATATTGTTTTAGCAGGTTGGATGAGGACCAGAGAATAGCAGTTATAAGAGGGCAGGATCTCAAGCCAATCTAAGCACTGCTATTTCTACTGCATTTTACCATGAGAGCTGTTCAATCGGTGGGCTTCCCACTCCTGGAAAACTGCTTTGAGGGTGTTATCGGGGGACATTCAGACCAGGGAAGACTCTGCACCAAATAGAAACTCGGTGGCCCTACCCAACTGTGACACTTCATGATTCACCTCCCAGGATCGGTCCTTACGCTGGGTTGTTTGTGTAGACGTGATTGGCAGGGTTGATATTTCATCAACCTGGAAAAGAACGTGTTTTCTCTCAGACGTTCAGGAACCTAAGTGCCAGAGTTTGGAACTCACCCCGTTCCTCATAGTTGAGACTCCATTCCTGTCCCAGCTCAACTTTTTGTCTTTCTAAGTAAGAAACTTCATCTGGCGGACCTTTCTTTAAGCCACAAATATTTTCCTCCCCTGACAGACAGCTCCCTCTTGCTCTCCACCCCCAAGTCATCAGGCATTTCTGACACCCCCTTTCCACTTGCGTCACTGTCTCTCGGGGAAACCGTCAGCCCTTCTCACTTCTGAACCAGCAGAGACAAAGAGGTGGCTCTTGGGGATGCTTGCAACCAAGCAATCACGTTTCAGGAGGTCATAAGTTCTGTTCTCCTCTCCTCTACCTTGCAGGTTGGCGTTGTTCAGTATGGAGAGGACGCGGTACATGAGTTTCACCTCAATGACTACAGGTCTGTGAAAGACGTGGTGGAGGCCGCTAGCCAGATTGAGCAGAGAGGAGGAACAGAGACCCGGACAGCGTTTGGCATAGAATTTGCTCGGTAAAAACAAAAATCTCAGATCTTCTTCTAGCACCTCTTGCTGCAAAACAAACAACCTTAAAATTCCGTACCTTAACACAATAATTTGCTCATCTCTAAGTTCTGGGAGCTGACAGGGTCCCACGGCATGGTCTTCGCTTGAGTTCTTTCACGGCTCGCAGTGTGGAGTTGTTATCATCTGCAGGTTGGACTGGACTGGTCACTCATGGACCTGGGACTTGACTCTGCCGGTTGGCTGGGAGCTCAGTGGAGTGCTCACACATGCCCCTTGGGGTTAGTCTCCCCGCATAGCCGCTAGCGTCTAAGAGGGGGTGTCTCGGCGGCAAGCTTGCCTAGAGACTCAGGTAAGCACTGCAAGGCTACCCATGATCCAACTGCAGACACCTCAGGACGTAGCTGCTGCCACATTCTATTGAGCAGCCAAGACATGAGGGCCAGCCTGGACTCAAAGATAAGAGAATTTGATTCTGTCCCTACATGGAGCAGTGGTGGCGAAGCCAGCTGGCAGACGAGCATTTGAGATGAGGAAGATTGGCGCAGCCAACGTGCGGCATGTGCTTGGCCACAGACACCCCACAAACCGTGTGAGGGTCCTCGGAGGGCAGAAACTTCCCGCAGAATGGCTGCTTGGGTCCTTGTCATCCCTGAAGGGTGAAGAGCAGACTTAACCCGAACCTCTGAGGCTGGAAATGACGAGGCTGGTTCTTTACGCACTCACACCAAACTCACTCTCGGGACCAATGTCCTCTCTCAAAGCCGTCCCCACGGGTGCCGTCCCATGACACTGCCATTGTACAACTGGTGTGCTCACCCCATTCAGCTCAACCCAGTGTCATTGGAGTCGGTCCTTAAACTCCTCAGATGACTATGCCAAAGGCATTGAGATTGTAAATGTGTGACTTATAAACCACCATCCCATTACCTACAATCCACCTCATTTAGCAAGACCCTGCCATCTTAGAGCTCGCTGGTGGTATCATGATTTCACGTGGTCAAAACATGACTCTTTTTCCAGCCTCCCAACTCTTCTGTTAACCCCCGTTCTGCCCGCGCTGCCCTGTTGGCTGATAGAAGCTGCTCAGGCTTTCCCTGACCGAACATTGCTCTGGTGGAAGATGGGCGATTTGCTCGTTCACATGCGGATGGGCTAGCCTGTGGCCTTTCCACCAGTGGGGGTGCCCCCAGGCCCTCGGGGCATGGCGGGCGGTGCTGATGGAGGGTGCCTGTGACCACGAAGCTATCACTTTCTTGGAGCAAAGCTACTTGACTCACCCCGGGATGAAACCCGCTGTCTGGCCTCCGTTGGCAGCCCACCAGCCCTGGGCCCATTGTAGTGTGTGACTCAGCAGGTAGTTTGATCCCTTGATGACTCATGAGCACCCCAAGGTGGTACCACTTCCCCTCAAGTGGCAACGCTCAGCTTCCCAGCTAGCTTGCCGAGGTTGGGTGCCAGGCGACAGCCAGTGTCCTTTAAGGTGAAAGGTTTTCGCGCCTCACTCCGTTACGCATGAAGTTGTGGTTCGGTTTGGCTTGGTTTTTCCTGTGCACCTATTTACTAAGTGCAGAGATCCAGGCCGGCGATTGAGGGATAGAAAGGGCTGTAACTTGCGGCCCCAGCCTTGGCTCACAGCCCAGTACGGGAGCTCACACTAACCCAATGAAGATGGAGAGGGGGCTGGAAAGATTGCCAAGAGAACAGACACTGTGACTTGTTCAAGAGGAGCCCTGGTTGCGCAGCGGTTACGCATTGGACTTCCAGCCGGAAGTTTGAAACCACCAGCCAGCCCACAGGAGAGAAATGAGGTTTTCTCCTCCCATAAGTACAGTCTCGGAAACTCACGGGGGCAGTTCCACCCCGTCCTAGAGGGTCGCTATGAGTCACCATCGACCTAATGGCAGTACGTTTGGTTTGGTTTTTTTGGTAGGGAGTGCAAACAGTCAATGTGTGTGGTGGCTAACCAAAAGATGAGAAGTTCAAGTCTACCCAGAGGCTCCTTGGGGGCGGGGGTGGGGGTGGAAGCCTGTCCAAAAGTCAGCATTGCAAACCCAATGGAGCACAGTTCTCTGACACACAATGTTGCTATGAGTCAGAATCAGCTTGCCAGTGATGAGTGAGACAGATTCTGGGAGCCCAGCAGAGGGGTGGAGAGAAGACGCCCCACAAAGACAGCACTGGGCGCTATTGAGCTGCCCGTCGGGTCTTCGCCACTGCAGTCTTTATGGGATCAGGTGGCCAGGTCTCTCCCACTGAGCAGTGTGATGGGTTGAACTGTCAATCTTTCGGTTAACAGCCGAACGCTTGACCATTTGCAACACCAGGGCGCTTTGGATAAAAACAGAGGGGAAGGAAAGTCTGGGGACACTTAGGTGCAGAGCCAGGTTCTGTCCTCAGGCCCGCATGTGGGTTTGTGTGGAGGAGGAGTGAGCCTTGCAGCTGGAAAGGTGAGCGGGAACCAGATTGGGAAGGTAATGATGTTGTCTAGGGAACAGGGGCAGTGAGCATAAAGGTCTGATCAAAAGATGGGATGCTTAGAAGGTGAGTCTGGCAGCTACGACTCGCTTCAAGTGGGGTCCTGTGACCAACCATGAACCCCCAAGAAATATGGTACAAGCCCTTCCTTCACTCAACACGTTTATTGAACCTTACCTTTGGGCACTGGATGTAGATCCATGAAGGACATACACATGAAACGGAAGCAGACAGTGAACAAACAAGGAAGGCAGAGAACGGGAAGAGACAGGGCCGTAGGAAAGATGGAGCCTGGGAAAAGGGGTGGTGCAGGCGAACAAGGGCAGGTGTGAGGGTGCCTTTAACCAACGGTCACTGAGCGAGTGACCCCTGAGGGCGAACTCGCAGCCAGGGGTGAGTTGACCAAGCAGTTGTCTGGGGGGAATGTTCCAGCAAGAGGAGTCAACTGAACGCTGGGAGCATGCCTAGGTCCACCCAGAGCCCAGTGTGGGAGAGTGGAGTGGACAGGAGAAGGGCTCAGGAGAGCACAGAGGACAGGTCATGCCGGGCCTGGTGGACACTGTGGGGATGAGGGCATTCCTTGAGAGGAGCGGAAGCCAATGCAGGCTTTGAGCAGCAGACAGACCCCTTTGGCTCCCAGGCTCTGGAAACCTGTTGTGAATATAGAGTTCTCAAGGAACTTTGATCTAATTTACCGAGGAACCAAACTCAAAATCATTTTACTGGGGCTCCTACAACTCTTGTCACAATCCATCTATCCATCCATTGTGTCAAGTGCATTTGTACATTTGTTGCCATCATCATTCTCAAAACATTTGCTTTCTACTTGAGCCCTTGTTATCAGCTCCTCATTTTCCCCCTATCTCCCCGCTCCCCCCTCCATCATGAACCCTTGATAATTTATAAATTATTATTTTGTCATCTTACACTGCCCGATGTCTCCCTTCACCCACTTGTCTGTTGACTGTCCCCCAGGGAGGGGGTTATATGTAGATCCTTATCATCAATTCCCCCTTTCTACCCCACCTTCCCTCCACCCTCCCGGTATTGCCACTCTCACCACTGGTCCTGAAGGGGTCATCTGTCCTGGATTCCCTG